TCCCATTAAGACTTTCTTGGTCTATCTTTGAAGAGAGGGGCCTGTGGCCCAGAAACACAGCAGAAACTGCACCTAGTCCAGTCGAGGCTGGCCACCAGTTCTTGAATTCACCCAGTGCCAGGGTTGCCTCAGTCACCAGGGCTGCCGCTCAGACACAGCGACAGGTCTCAGCAAGGACTCAGCCGGCCCCTCTCTGTTATCCGGCTGTGGCACTTTCTCTCTTGACATCTGTTTTTAAAGGCTGACAGTCCCAGGACACATTCTGGGGAGCCATTGTCTGAGGTGCTGTCTGGGTATGAGAAGATACAGAGAAGCAGGCCTGTGTGCCCGACTCCAAAGCCAGGGAACAGTGGAGTTGGGTCCTGAACCCAATAGGAGTTGGTACAACGCAGAAACCACTTGGAACCTTCTTGGTTCCTCAGCTCTCTCCACAGAAATTCTGTCCCTTCACAGGGTGTGGAAGGAGGGACAGGACAAACATAAAGTCCCACTCATATGACCTTATTTAACCTTAGTCACCTCCTTACTGGCCCGTCTCCAAATGGAGCACATTGAAATTAGGGCTTCAACACTAGAATTTGGAGGGGACGTCATTCCATTCACAGCACAGTCTTGACACAGTAGACTCTGTATAAATACTTGCTGAATGAATGCCTGAGCAAGAGACTTTGATCCTCTGCTTTCAATTTCTCCTCAGTGGGACTGCCCCACAGACAGGTCTCGCCTGTCTCCACAGGCAGAGACAGGGCCCTTTGCTGTGACTCTCTGTGTGTTTTAATCAGGGTCTTATTTAATAGTCTAATGAAAAGAACCTGATTTTGATTTAGTTCCATGTTCAATCAGGAGCTTCAACCATGCTCTGTGGTGATTATGCTGCTCCTGGTCTTCTCTGGAACCACCCACAGGCAGCATGTTCCTGTTCGCTCCCCTCCCCTAACTTGACAGAGGTGAAAATGGGACCCAAGGTCCATACTGGACCTTGTCCAGTATGGATTCCATCTGCACCCAGAGTGGCAAAGGAGTCCTCTGGCCAACCCTTGTGGCCGTGTCTCTGCCAAAGCTTAATCCCTAGGCGATACAACCTACTCTCATGATGAACCAGAGCACTATTGGCCTCGAGGGACTTTGGCAACGCTCAGAGACATTTTTGACTGTCGTGACTGTTGGCAGACAGTGGATAGAGTTCAGGGGTGCAACAAATACTGAAAATGCACCAGACGATTCTACATAACAAAATATGGTTTAGTATCCAAAATATGCAATAGTATCGAGGTTGAGAAACTATCATCTAAATGCTAATGATCACACATTTATATCTCAAGCTAGTCCGGGTATCCATGACAACCTAATAAACCACCCACCACTTAGTGGCTACAGCTACAATAGTAGTTTGTTTAGCTCTTGTGTCTGCAACCTGCTCAGGGCTCAGAGTGGAAATTTTATCTCTGCTCTGCCAAGTCTGGTCCCAGCTGGGCAGAGCTGAAGGTGGGGAGTGACAGCAGAGGGCAGGCATGTTGGGTTCATCCATTCACATGCCTGGTGGTGAGGCTGCTTCTCACAACGCGGGCCTCTCCGTAGGACCCCTTACAGCATGGTGACTGGGCTGAGCATCCCAACAGAAAGAACCAGAGGGGAGCCAGATCACCTTCATGACAGCCCTTAAAGGACCATGCATTACTTTGGCTGCCCTCCACCCATTCACCCATGAAATAATTCATCAGAATATCCATCTATGCAGTAGCCACGCATCCATGGTTTCATTTTCAAAGGTTTTAGCTACCCGTGGTCACCCACAGCTGAAAATAATATGTATTTTTAGAATGAGGCCACATTCATATAACGTCTTTTATAGATTATTGTCATAATTGTTTTCTTATGTTAATTTATTACAACCTAATTTATAAATAAAACCCTTTCATATATATATTAAAAACATAGTATATATGGGGTTTGGGACTCTGCCATTTCAGGCACCAACTGGTCCCCTGTGGATAAAGGGGTAAGGGAAGAAAGTACTGTCTAGCAAGGCATTGTTCTGGTACTGAAGCTCCAGAAATAAATGGAACCATGAAAAAATATTGCTGCCTAGTGAAATTTACATGCTAGCCAAGGAGATGAAACAGTCTACAAAGTAAAGGGAAAATATATAGTATGTTCAATGGTGAAAGTGCAAAGGCTAAAAATACAGCCAGAAAGGGCAACAGTGTAGGCTTGGTTGGTTGGTGCTTGGCCTAGGGTGGTCACAGGGGGCCCCCTTGATCAGTAAAGACCTGAAGGAGATGAGGCCAGAGCCATGGGGACAGGTGGGGGCAGAGCTCTGTGGGCTGCGGTAACAGCAAGTGCGAAGACTGAGGTTACAGGCCTGTTGCGTAGCTGCCACTGGGTGACCGAGGGGCAGCCACCTCTCTGCCTGTTGTTCCACGTGCATCTGGAACTCCCTCTTGTGAATTTGAGTTTCGAGAAGTGGCTCTGTAGCATGAAGCCACAGCATGAGACAAACGCAAACAGGGGCAAGGACCCACGGAAAGTAGGATCCCCCTTTTGCCAGACCTTGTGAATCTGGGGGGAAGACTGCTGCAAGAAAGGAAAGTTCTGTTTGTCACATTTTGCCTGTTCATAAAATCATGTTGGGCTCCCTCTTCTGGTCCCTTTTAATCCCCAACCTTCTCGGGGACATGGGAAGCTGCTCTTTCCAATCTGGCTGGTGTTGACATTCTCCTCCATCTGGAAAGTGGCCACTGTGTTGGCATGGGGGAGGTGATGGCTTTGTCCTTTCAGATGTGGCCTGTGTGCCAGGCTTGGCCCTTGACAGAAGCAGATGGAATCTCTTGGTGGAGGGGGGCAAGGGGGAGTCAGAGGTCAGGTCTGTGGAAGGGGCAAGACATTCCTCACCTAGTACTGATATTCTCCCTGCTCTGAAAAGACCTGTCCTGTGCCAGAAGGAGTCTGGGTTCTGAAGACATTAGGGGTGGCGAATGATATGTTATTTGAAGAATAGATAGCTGGGATGAAGTTGCAAAGACACTGACTGTCCTAGCAGAGTGAAGTAAACAGGGTGGGCCGTGAGTGGGAGAGGTCACACAGAGAGCCTCCTCAGCCACACGTGTTTCCTCCCTTAGGTCGCCCTGGAGATGCTGTTCACTGGGGAGCCTATCTCTGCCCAGGAGGCCTTGAGTCACGGGCTGCTCAGCAAAGTCGTGCCAGAAGAGCAGCTGGAGGAAGAAACCATGAGAATAGCGAAAAAGATTGCCTCCTTGAGCCGCCCTGTGGTGTCTTTGGGCAAGGCTGCTTTCTACAAGCAGCTGCCCCAGGACCTTAGAACGGCTTACTGCCTTACAGCTCAGACCATGGTAGACAACGTGGCCCTGCAGGACGGGCAGGAGGGAATCAAAGCCTTCATCCAGAAGAGAAAGCCCAACTGGTCGCACTGAACAGAACTTGTGGGAGAAGTAGAGGCACGAGCCCTGTGGGTAGGCTCAGGCAGTAACACACCCAACCCCTCACCTCTGACCCCAACACCACAGCTGCCTTGTGATGGAACAGCCGACAGCTGCCTCGACAATAACATTAGAATGGTTTCGCCAGCGTGCTCTGTATTAAAAGCTTTGATTTCGAGGAGAGGATGAAGTGGAGAGTCAAAGAAGAGCTCATTTGCTTGTAGTGAGCCCACGCTCTGCTAGCTGCCTTCACACACCTGCGGGCCAGGGTGTTATCACACCAGGTGTAAAGGAGAAGGCAGCCTGAGAAATGTCTCCGGAGGTGGAAGTGGATTTGGCTGCCCAAGAGAAAAGACACATTTCAGATCCCACAAGGTTAGTCGCAACTGAAAATCCTGAGAAATAATCATGCCCCGGGCTTTGGAATAATCTTACATGATTTCAAAAGATGAAATATTTAGAGACAGTGGGAACTTGATCTGTGCAGTGAGGCAGCAAACTCTTGAGAAATGGAAAAACAGCCACAAACTCCTTTGTATTCCACACTGACGGATGTGGAGCAGCAGCTGGTGTTTCCATGGTCGTGTCCTTGATGCCCAGAGCACCACGATGTCTTGATTCTGAGTAAAGCTCAGTGTGAAAAAAGGGGTGCAGAACACATGATCTGCCAAGAACCACCTACTCTGGACTCACGTCCTGGCTTGCTGTGCCTCTATAGAGAATCCAAACTAGCATCAGGTATCCAGGCACTGAACAAGTGTTTGGACTAGGACAAAAATGCCATTTTCTGGTTTCTGGTCCAACGTGGCCCAGGAAATGCTCGAAACTGCTCGTCCTCAAGTTTTCTCAGAAGGCTGATTTATTTTTAAGCTAATCATCTTGCCTAGAACAGAATGTGGCTGTGAATGTGCCCAGCACCACTGCCGAGGACAAGTGCCACGGGGCTCTAGTGGTCATTCTCCTCAGGATCCCTGGCACAAGCTCCTGTGGAATGGAGTGTCCAGTAGTGTTTTCATGCTTTCTATGGAAGTGGATGATTGGGGGGGGAGGGTATAACTTAGAAAGGTAGAAGAGTATGTTCTGTGATACTAACAGTGCTTCTGAGCTGAAAGAATGTTAGATCATCAGCCATGGGGCCCCTGGCACACACAGGCTGCCTCTGCTGTTACATTTACAAACTTACAGGTGAGTTGTCAAAGGTCAGATTTTGCACTTCGTTCGAGGTCCAAGAGCTGCAGCTGATAGTTGCCTGCTGCCGCCTGGCCACACCACCCACTGAATGGAGAGCCTAAGCTGGTGTGAGGGTAGCTTAAAGGAGTGAATTTCAATCCACCATCACTTTCCAGAAAAAAAGACTTGGCCCAATTCCTCCTTGCAGCAGAATTGTGCTAGTATCCTAGGGACAGATTTGATGTCTACTGAGCCCTTGGATAAACAATGTCAGCTGAACCCAGACCTCCCTGCCTCTCCAGATGACCAGCTGTAGAAATTATTAGTAGCCAGTTGCCAGATCAGAGAGTGTGAAAAAAAGGGGTGTTTTAAACTCTTTGGGCTTTGGAAATAGTAGCAAAGGCTTCTCACACATTTGGCAAATGAAAATCGAAAGTTTATCTTGCCATTTCTGTCTGAGTATGTTCTAAACCCTCAAGCCATGAAATCCTTGCATCTCTAGGCTGGCTTCCCAGCCTGTGAACTAATTTGCACACAGGGACTTGCTACTGCAGGAAATAATCCAGAAGGAAATCTGCTGTCCACCCTCCAAGGTCATTAATTCCTCCCTGAGGCCAATATAAATTTTTTAGCTCTGCTTCTGTCCACTGGGAGACTGGATGAAGTTTTCTGAGAGCCCACGTGATGACTGTTCTTGGAAAGCCTATTTGTCTCTTCCTAGCTTCATTTACTTCTGGGGAGCTCCCCTGAACTCAGCCCTGCAGACCACACACCTACAATTCAGGGGCTGGAAAATAGGCGAGCAGGTGTTCACCCCTGCGCTTGGGTAACTGCACCTTCCCAACCCACGCTCCCCATCAGGACCATGAATGGGTTGAGTGAGTGTCAGATACCAGCTCCTGTAACTTTTTACACCAGTGGTGAGGTGGGAGTCATGTCCCATGCCAGGCAGCCCCATGCTATATGTGACGCTCAGTGAGGTTAAGTCCATGCCACTAGCTACAGGATGTGGGCTGGGATCTGCAGGATTCTGGATTGTGCTCCTAATTAACACACTATATTCCTCCCAACACAAGGAAAAGACAACCGCTTCACGCTGCAGACAACCTTCTATGCACTCAAAGAAAAAGAGCACAGGAAAGGCCACTGAGTTTTGCTTAGTGAAGACTTAGAGAAAAGCAGAGGTGTGGACACACTGAGCTCCCCTCCCAGGGTTACATGAACCAGCGGAGCGGCCTGCATCTCTCCAGGTGGCCAACTTTTCCTTCTATAGAAAGCCACAGAGCGGGCTCTCCTACATGTTCTGACACTCCAGATTCTACAACACTATGATTTGGAAACTTGAGTAGGCAGCTTTCACTTGGAAAAGACACTTTTTACAAAAGGAGATGGGTATTTTATCTGAGGGAGAGGTTAAGTTTGAAAATACCTGATTACTTTTGCAGGAGAAAGACTGTCAGAGCTTTGGGGTAACACCTGAACCCTTTGACTTTAGCTGGGAAGACCATACAAGGGGGCATTTGATCACTATGGAAATTGGCGATTACCCTTGTCTCATCTGGTGCTTTATTCTCTGTTCCCTGCCCTTTTAAGTGACAGATATCCATCCAGAGGTGGTTGTATTTTAAAAGTTGCAGCAGTGTGAATTTTATGACAAATTGTGGACAGTTTCAGGGCCTTCAGACTCTCAGGGCTCCTGCCTCTTGAAGGCCCTGCTAGTTACACTTTGGAACACACCCAATTCCACACTTGACAGCATTCATCTATTTAGAGGAAGGAGTTCACTAATTTCCTTTAAACTTTGTAAAAAAAAATCTGCTTAATGATGATTAGTTCTTAACAATCATTGAGTAGGTGAGAGTTTGATTCAACATTATTGAAGTTGATAAATAAAATATTGTATTTCAGCTTTTCAAGAACTTTGTTGTTTATTTGTTTTTCATGTCTGTAATTAAAAATTTATCTTTTGGGTAGATGACTGGATTAAAAAGATGTGGTACATATATACAATGGAATATTACTCAGCAACCAAAAAAAGAGAAACATGTCTTTTGCAGCAACTTGGATGGAGCTGGAAAAGATCATGCCAGAAAGAGAAAGA